ACATCTGCAATCTTCATTTAGATCTAGATCTAGGCTAGCCGCGAAACTAGATCAAAGATTTATGTCTGCCTAGATCTAGACCATAGATCTAGAAGAACCTAGGTCTACCCTGAGCCAAGAGGGCGCTGAAACTCTTCGAAATCACAAAAGAGTTCCCCTACCGGGTCAGTATACTTTGTGACTTTGTTCCCGGTTACCGGGTCTGTATACACTCCCTTTCTTTTACCCCAGTGCCCAGTGGGGCAGGCCCCCCTGGAACCCCCCGATTGGTCTAAAGCACGTCTATCTCGGTTAAAAACAATAAAATATCAAAAACTATTAATTTGCGACGGAAATGAAGTTGATATTCGTGTTCTGGGCATCAATATTTAGTAGAAAATAGACAACTGGTAGCCGAGTGTGAGACGGGAGGGAAAGTAAAAAAATACCAAAATTACAACAGGTAATAGAGGCTAAGTAGGCGTGATAAAATTGTATACAAGGAAACAACCAGTTTTGTTTAAAAAATTATTATTTCTGAGACGAAAAATGGACCTCACATAATTTCCACGTCACTTCGTTCCTCTTCCTCCATTTTGTTTTTACGATAATCACGCTTTTCCGCTAGATCTAGCTCTTGACTTTTCGCTCATAAAAACGGTGCATCATGTCTGACAACGAAGATTTGTTATGGATGACTCTCTTAGTGAGTCGTCTGAGAAAAGCGATGATTGCCCCTCAAATGAAGAAGAGATTCAGGCATTGCGATTGGCCCGGACTGTGGACACAGGACAACGAAACCAGAGGTAAGCTCCTCCTTTGTTTACATTCACAACTGATCAGAATTCTTGGTTAGGGGGACCTAGGGTGCCACTGGAGTGAAAATTGTGGTTTCTTACGGCAAGGCACTAAATCTCACATCAATCATATCTAATGAATACTTTGCTACACTTTTCGACTGAAAGTAGTTTTTCATTGTTTAGAAACAGTATCATGCAGCTGTAATCAGGAAGTAGGCAGGAAGACCAGGAAGTAATCTATGGCTTACCTGTTACTAGATCTAGATCTGGGCTAGAAAAGTACACAGCTGCTTTACTACTTTAGGTATTTTGCACTTTATGTAAGCTTATGTTATCTATGCAGCTCTTTGGTGTGATATTTACTGTGCACATTATTTATAAGTTTATTTATTGAAAATTTAATTTGTCTCGTATAGGCAAGCGCAAAAAGTAGGAGTTGCAGAGGCAGAGAAATCATATGGTGATGAGGACGATGCTCCAGACCTGACAATTCCCAAATTTAGGTCAGAGTACACCCCAGGGCTCCGCCTGCCACGACGGGGGGACAAAACTGATACCATCAAGTATCTAAGGCCAGGTAAGATTTCTTGTCCATCACTCATTCATTCCTTTCTACATGGCCTATCAATATTGTTAGCCCTGCCTCTCTGTGATCTCTGATGCTGCATTTAGATAGGATGTCTGAACTGATCGACACAGAGGTAAGAATTGATCTTTTACTGAAGTTCTAGTATTGTTTGGTATAAGTAATTAAATGTTTTATAAATGTTTGCTGTATTATGTAGAATTATTGAATTGTCCTGTTACTGTTTAAAAAAAATGTTTATTTCCTAATGAGTATCTAGTACAAAAAACTAATGTTGACTCGTTCCTCCCCCCCCCCACCCCACCCCACCCCCACATCCCTTCTGGCTTCTGTCTACACCCCAGGTGCATTCTTCAAAATGTTTTTCACCGTTGAGTTGATGAAAGAGATCTGCCGTTGTACAAACAGTTATGCAGAAGAAATGAAAGAAATAAAACCCTCATTTTGGAAGAACTGGAAGCCACAGACAAGCGGAATTTTTTGTTTTCGTTTCTTTGTTGCTTTATTTTAGCATTGTTAAATAACCTAGAACTGAATTGTATTGATCCACTCAACAGTTATTTCATGGTCTTTGGGATAGTTTTTATGTCTAAATTTAGCTACAAATTCAGTGTTTTCTCAAAATATCTTATTGGAACAATGAAAAAAAGACAAACTAACAAAAGTCAGATCCCTCTCAGATCACATTAGAGATAAATGCATGGGATTATGGCAGCCACATGAATTTATTAGCACTGATGAAAGAATGGTAGCAAATAAAGGTAGGTATAATTTTAGGCTGTATATAACCAACTAAATGGGGAATGAAATTGTGTGTATTGGCTGATTCTATTACCGGGTGCACTTGTAAACTTTGAAATTTACCTAGGAAAAGCCAATAAGCCAAACTATGGGTTAGGGTATTCAGTAGTTATGATACTTTGTAAACATTTTTTGGAATGGGATATAAATTGTTTATGGATAATTTCTACTCTTCTCTGCCACTTTTTAGGGATTTATTTGCCACAGGAATATCTGCTTGTAGAACAATTTTGTCAACGAGACGGGAATTTCCAGCCATCCTGAAAACAACAAAAGAATTAAATTAAATAAGAAAATTAGGGGATCAATGAGGTGGGTTAGAGTAGAAATTATAGGGTGTCGCCAGGGGAAAGATAACAAAATAGTTAATGTCATTACAACCATGTATAAGTTCATAAGTGAAAGGACATGTGTGAGGCATCGTGATGGAATCAGGCTCTCGTCAATTTTTGGGCATTTAGAGTTATTGGTATCATCTTAAAGCTTGTTCATCTGTCTTTATTTAATTTGGATGAAAAAAATATCCATTTATCTTGAATACAAGTGGAGATATTAGCGAAAGAAGGAGGTGGGGGTCACCTGTTTTCAGAGGTAAAATTAGTGAGAAAACGGCCGCCAAAGATTAGTTATTTCCTTAGCTTAAGAGTCCGTGGTAACTGAAAATTTACATTTTTTTTGTGCCTTTATCAACGTTTTCCGAAAAATCCAAACAGAAATGAGTACTTTTATGAGCATGAAAGATGTTGAGCCCAAAAAAAAAAATTTGATAAAAATTCACAAACTAGGGGAATAATGCAAGTTTCTTCACTTTGATGATTTTGACGAGAGCCTGATTCCACCACGCTGCCTCACACTGTAACAGGCGAGTGAAGATCAATGGGGAATTTAGAAAACTTACTGTCTCTCAGCCCGAGGTTATAAAAGATTATTACAATAAATTAAAGGGGGGCGGTGTGTAGATAGATCAGACCAGATGATAGCAAAATATAAATTATTGAGAGGGACTAGTAACTTTTGGAAAACAATTTTTTACCATATATGACAGACATTGCAAAGCCAAAGGTAATTTGTTTTATAATGTTTCAAGCTTTTCAACAACGAGAGAATATTCAGAAAGTACAGGAACTCCAAAGACCCAAAGCCTGTTCCCTATTTGAGTTCACCCTAGAATTGATTAAAGAATTAGCTAAAATAAGTGAAAACATGGAAGTGCCTTTTTACAACCTAAAAGAAAATGAGTCATGCAGTGGTTCCAGCTCCAACTGCCGTTAGACGTAATTGTTTCAGGTGTTACAGGTTAGAAAAGGTAGACAGAAAATCAAGCACAAAATGTTTAAAATGTGATAAAAACTTCTGCTTCAGTCTGTCAAGAAACTGTTTATTATTAAACCATCAGTAAAGTTTGATTCGTGCCACTTTTTATTTCATTTTACTGTTAAACTTTTGTTACTTAGCCTTTTTAGACGAAGGGGTATTTTATGCCACCATCGACACAATTGAGATCATGTAGGAGGCAGGCTTACAGCCCTGCCTGTCAAGTCCTGTCCAGGCTGAGAGAGGTACAATATATCGCAGAAAGACGGAGATAATAAAAAAAAATTCTCCCCACTCAGGATTTGAACATGGTTTTTCTGTGTGTGACAGCGAAGCAGTGCCTGCGATGGTATGTCGTTTCATCGTCTTTTGCTATTTTATATTTTAAATTGAATGTGGAAATGTAAATCAGCGTTTGTGCAACTGATTCATAAATTTCATTTGTTTTACATTTCAAATGAGAGCTACAAGTAGTTTCAGACTGTTTTCAGTACTCTGATGACATAGCCAGTACAGTTGAAAAGTTTTTTAGAACTATATTCTTACATCTTTCTCTATTGAAGATTAAAAGTGTACAATTTATTGATTTGTTTTACTTTTCAAATGAGTTACAGGTTATTTCAGACTTCTGAGTATTCTGGCATAACCGGTACAGCTCAAAGGGGTGATTAAAAAAAATTTTTTGGCCATTTTTATATATTTATTTTCCCTTTGAAGATTGAAAGTCTGTCAAGCATGATACATCATCCGCCAGTTCACATAAAGTGGAAAAGTGGACATATTTTCAGATTTCAAATAAATTCTGAAGAAATGTGACCATGTGACTTTTGTTTTTTTGTTGTTGTTTTTTTGTCTGCTACATTCAAAGACAAAAAAATCCATATATGATCTGTCATACTTCAGCTCAAAATATAACCAGGACAGGCAAATATAGTTTTGCAACCCACCAGTGCAACCCACCAGGTTTAGGAACAAGCCTAAAAGTAAAAGACAGTGAACCCCGAGAGAGTTAAAAGGTATTCTTTTACTTTCCCTCCCGTCTCACACTTAGCTACCAGTTGTCCATTTTCTACTATATATTGATGCGTTGAACAATATCAACTTCATTTCCGTCACAAATGAATAGTTTTAAAGATATTTGCGTAGTAATTTGTGCGCTTTGGGCCAATCAGGGGGTTTCAATGGGGCAGCCCCCCTAAAGTAAGCAAAAAATTTGGGGGGGGGGGGGGGGGGTTACAGGGGAGCATACATGCCCCTGTTTCAACCCGTAATTTGATATTTTGCCGTCAGGTTTGAAATTCTCTTGAAAATAATTGATTTGCAACAGTTTGAGTGGCTTTATATGTGATCTACAGCAAACAATATACTGCAGTTTGACCCCCCAAAGCAATGCATCTGTGTGCGGGACACGGCGTCACTTTTCGCCCGATTCTGTTACTTTTAGTTAGCGCGACTCAGCAGCCCGCCGGGGCTCCCCGGCTCAGGGTCACGGGGTTAATGAGCATTGAAGCGACTTTGCCGCTGTCGGTTAGAAAGTTCGCATTTTTGACTATGTTTAAAACGATATAACTTCCTCCCCATCCCACATAGAAAACCATTACGCGGATATACTAAAAGCTCAATGTCTCGAGATTCATTCTGCGTTAGAATGGTTAATTTCTGTGCCTTAGTTTTTGTTCTAGACAAGTGTTTGTAGAGTACCCAATTTGTCCTATTTTAGTTACAAACTTATGAATAAATGATTGTTAATTTTAAAAAGGCATGATAGAGCTCTCCAAAATCTGTGTTAAACTGACTACGAAGATCATGTCTTTTACCGTGAGAAATCTTAAATCTGCGCGAGTAGTAGAGCTAATAGTCAAGTTATAAGAGAAGAAAGATGCACATCTGCATTTTTTAACTAAAGACGGTCAGCGTTAGCTCTTATTTTGCTATTAAAAAAGAGAAAGTTACTCTGTGTTTGTTCATGAATCATGCTGTGTCTGTGGCAGCATGCATACAACTAAAAAGATATAATATAAGCGATTAAAAACCCCCACAAAACCTTTTAAATACATGGGTAGAGATAAACTTCTTGTATGGAATAAAAATAATGACAGCTAACACATTCATTCTTAGTTTTTGTGTCGGACATATGCGCGAACACAATAGTTATGAATGTAAAGAAATCAGTCACATTGTAAAGTTATTGCAAAGGCAAATGGTCATAGAAACGAAAAATAAAGCTGGAAAAGTCTGGTGCTGATTCAGTGTCCCTGGAAAGCTAGAAATTATTCTTATACACAAAATTATGAGAAGTCATCCCTATTATTCAGTCAACTTACAAAACCTAGACTTAGCGTTTTAAGAAAAGTAAGGAATTTCTGGAGTGTGACAGATACTGTTCGTGTATTAGATCTACATTGAAAATGTATTCTAGCACTAAAGTGGATTTGTACTTTTCATAGAGAAACTGCATGGTAACTTTTATAAACTTTCGAGAAAATATGCGAATATTCATGATTATATTAGACACATAAAGTTGTATTTGGAGGAATTACTTCATAGCGAATTGTGTACCCGATGGATAAAGTTGCAAAATTACAGCCTTCTATTATATGCGCAGATACCATCTTTTCTGAGTATCTGCACCAATGCTATGTCGTTCATGTTCCAAAAGTTCGACAGATTTTGACGAGGCCTTTTTTTTATATTGATTTTTTTTTTCATTCACGCTAGTCCCAAAAAAAATTACAATTTAGCATTGCCGACTCCCACGCGTCTAACGAAATAACCTGACAAGTTACAACGTCCGTTCTTTTTTGAGTCTCAAGAGCAGAAATGCGTGCTTTGGGTGCACTAAATGAGAATTACCATAAATACAAAGATACACCTTAAATTGTACGTTAGAAAGTACCAAAAATTAAGTTGGCCCAGACAGAGCGGCAACAGGGAGCTGACCCCCATGACCCCGACTTGATAAGGCGCCCGGCGGGGAACCCCCCCCCGCGCGGCAACTAAAATTCCACTGCCGGTGCGCTGTGTGGAGTGAAAGTACAAATTTTCCCAATTTAAGAATGATCTTGCTCACTTCACCCCCTACCCTTTTATCTCTTGATTCTTCTTTTTTTCACCCCCCTCTCACCCCTCTTCCCGCCTTGGCCTTCTTCTGTACTGTACTCCCTTGTTTCTTCAAACAACTTTTTTTTTCAAATTACCGAGCGTTGCCGGGTATGCACACGGGAAGAGGATTGAAGTCGTGTTACGTGTGCTGAGCAACTTGGGCACGTCTTCGCCCTCTGCAAACTCTGTTGCATTCAGTGAGACCACTGCTGCATTATGTTTCACACGAGTGTTCCTGTGCTGTTTCCTCTTTCACTTTGAGCAACCATAGGATTTCAGTCGTGTCCGTGTGCCAGTGGAGGATGATTCAGGGCACCGTCAGTGTAACCTGCAAACTGCGTAGTGACTAGTAGGATTTATTGTAGGGGTAGCCTACTTCTACTGGTTTGGAGAGTTATAATTGTTAAATTATCACAACCGAGGTCAGACCAGTTAGTGCAGTTTATATGCCTATATATATAAACAAGAAAATGTAAGTTACCAATCAATAGTGGTTTTGCGCATGATTTATATACAAATTATAAAGGTGTGATCAAGGCGGTAATTTTGTTTTGTTTTAGAGAACAGCAGCAATGAAAATTTCCCTTCTACTTTTGTACTTTCTTGCTCTTTGGACTTAAGTTTTAATTTGGGACTGTCACTGTCTTATCATCATCATAGGCACATCATGTTCAAACAGCTGTCTTGCAATCCGTCTTGCAATGAATTTAGAATTTTAGCCTCCTTTCAATGGATCTTCCCACCCTTTGAGCAGGTCACAGTTGATTCAACCACTTTAGAAAAACCTTTTTCTTTTTTCCTCTTTTTATTTGCCTACAGGGGTCCTGGGTTTTCAATAGTGCAGACATATGCTGTCATTAAAGGAGTGAAGATTGGAAGATGTTTGCCTATTTATGATGTACTACTACAGGTCGTCCCCTCTGGGACTAACAAGACTTGAGTCAACATGACTCTGAGTTGCACTTGACCCTGAATAGCGGCTTATTCGATATTGTCATCAAATTGTTACAGCAGATAGATTTCCTTGAATCTCAGTTGTAAAAGAGACGAAAAGACATGATTTTCTTAAAGAGTAAGCTGTTTTCATGTTGCAGTTCATGATTTTTTGTGTTTTTCTTTCCCAAGGAAACAAACTGGACTGTTTTGGTGTGGCCTTTGGCGTTGTTGCAGCAGCACAGCTTTTGGGTAGAAATGATATTCACTTGGCTTTGTCAGAGGATCATGCATGGGTTGTCTTTGGAGAAGATGGAACAGACACTGCGGAGGTCACGTGGCATGGTATGTGTCAGTGTTTGTTGAATATGTGTTGCATCGTGAATCGTGGTGACATCAGGCGCTTGTCAAAATAATGAATTTGAAGAAACTGACATCTTTGCACCAGTTGTGGGATAATTTTTACAGATTTTTCTTTTGGGGGTGGGGGG